GCAACAAACAGGAAATCCTAACAGTGGTGGCGGCGGTGGCATGCCATCAAACCCCGACTTTATAACAGTGCAGAAGATTAACGCTGCCCACAAATGAAACTAAAACTGCCCGTTCTGCGAGCCTCAAGGTTATGTCAGTATTCCTTTAACCAGTGGCATTGAAGCTCAAAAACACGGTCATTGTGTACAGTGAAATGAAAAGTCATGGGCACAACGCATGAGAAATATCGAGAGAATGAAGGAAAAGCAGGGAAGGCAAGTATAGACTTTGGCCAGCATGACATCCCACAGACACGGTGATAGCAATGGGAGAATAAAGAAGAAGACATAACGCGTGTGTTTAGATAATTTAACAAGCCTGGTGCACCGTACCAATGTAATCGCGTACAATTGAGTTCGTCGTACTGCGTAAGTGTTCGTATGCGCAATGTGAGGTCAGGCTCCCAAGACGAGCACCACGGCCCACGCAAACATATGGTGCCGAAACCCGGGAACAATGACCTCCAGGACAACATGGAGAACAAAGGACAGGGAATCAGGCTGCAGTAACTAACGAAAGGTGAGCGTTGACAACTCCTTTCAAGCTATGGATGCAACGACTGAAAGAGAAACGAACGGCACGTGGGCAGCACAGCTCACGGCTGCTCGAAGAAGCAGGGGCAGTGATAAGGCTATAAGTGACAAAAATCGCAGCGTTCATCCACGTTCCATTCAGTTGGTACGGATGGGGCGTGAATGATTGAATTTTTGGGTTTTATGGACAAAAGGAAAGGAGGTGTTATCACAAGATAATAATAATAATAATAATAATAATAATAATAATAATAATAATAAATGTTACGTGTAGTATTGTCCCTGTCGGCTTTATAACGACCAAGTAGCAGCTATGAATAACATTGTGAGCAATTAACGAGCTGCATCCTGGCGTGGATATGGAATAAGATCATTTGTGTACACCAACAAGCATATTTTAGGCTAAGGTTGTTTTCAAAAAATTTGCGCAAAAAAAAAGAAAACGTACGCTGAGGGAAAGGGCTGTTATGCCAGCGAGTCCTCGTCAAACGTCCGTGCCTCTGAAAAAGGCAATCTGGGTCAAGGCCAGCCCGCAGTCCGCCTGACGCGAACAACTCAACGGCGTGAACACGCGCGGCGCCTCTCTGGCCCACGTGCAGTGAGTCAGCGGCGCACGTGACAGCGTGCCGGCGTCTTCGTGTCTGGGGGTCTGACATGGCCCAGCGGCGACCCCATTGGAGGAATCTGCCCTGACGACCAGCGGCGCTTCTGATTGGACATTTTCGTTGGACCCGGTGCAAATAAAAGAAGCCCTGCGGCGCGTCGCGATCGGCGGTCCTATGAGAGAGGAGTCCCCATGTCGGAGAACCGACATGTGTGTGAGTCGGCGGTATTAGGCGAAAAGCTGACCTATGTGTTAGAGAGGAGAGCTCGGCTCTTCGAGTCTCTGTCGGCCCCAGTGCCGAAATTGTAACGCCTCTGTATATATGCTGTACATAAACCTTATTTAACTCACCGTCGTCTCGTCCGCTCGTCTTATCAGCTCTGCGCAGAAGCAGTCGCGAGCTGAGAAACATACGCTACCAAACGGCTGGTGACCTTCCCGGCAGAGTTGAAAGCAGTGGCGCCTTCGGGACCGTGTTGGCGTCGCCGTCTTTCGCAACAGGGCACGTTCAGCACAAGCAACGCACTTGTGCTGTTTCTTTCTCTCTTCGTGCACGTTTTTTTTTCGCGCAATTTTATGGAAAATGGAATATGCCAAATCACCCAATAGTCCATTATTTCAGGCTATAGCGTATGTCGGTTGGGCACATGTGTTGTTTCCAATGACTGTTCAATGGCACTGCCACTATCTGCTTCGATTGATTATGAAGTACAGGTGGTGCATATGTTTGTCCTGATATTGCTAGGTCTTTGCGTTTTATATCTGAATGATCGACGACAACGTTAGTGAGGAGGAGACCCTTTAACGAATAATGTGTGACTGTTTACTACAATAAGTGATGTAGCAAGCAGGGTTTTGCCTTCAATGTTTATATCCAAGCGCATCACGCAGTAGAGAACAGGTGCTTGTTGTTCTGGTACTCATAAACGCATTTTTCTGAGTTTCCTCTATTCTATTTTCATGGGACGTTTCCAAAAATGTGTACCCTGAGCGTAGGCTTAATTTGAAGCTGCCAATTTAAAGAAATTTGTGCTAAGAAGAGATCTTGTGCATCCGGATTGGTTAAGACACATTGATCATGAATCATTGCTATGATGAGTTGATTAGCTTGTGCGCAAGGTAACAGAATGTGAAGATTATTGACGAAGAAAACAACATAAATACTAATTATCCGTGCTAATTAGTTACACTCAAAACAACATTAATAAGTGCATGCTGTTTTTTCTCGGTATTGTTTATTGTTATTTCGGAATTTTGCCCCCATCACGAAACGGTCAAGAACTTACCTGTATTCTGGCGTCTTTGGGACTTCGAAAAATGGCTTTTTATTCATTTCTTTAGATACGAAATCAGGGGCACTGACGTGAAGTATCGTTCTGCTTAACAAAGGTAGGTAAACACAGCTCACTAAACGAAAAACACCATACAGCCAGTCGGCAAACTGCGGTTCGCAATTCCACGGGAGCATTGAGGGACAATAGAGCAGCCCTGCGTAGTTACTCAAAAAGAAACCACGACCTATCGCCTTCCTTCCTTACGTTTTCTACATAACTGTGCACGAACGACAACAGTGGTCAAGTAGGAGCAAACCCCTCTCTTGCGAGGGGCACTAGGTGAGATATACACCTGATGTACTTTAAACGGGTATTTATAGTGCGGAGAGAGGTACCCCGACTTAGCGCTCAGTGGTCTGCTTCATGCTCTCGGAAGGTGGCCGCACCGCTTCCTCCCCCCCCCCTTCCCCCAAGCTCTGCGTCGGATGCCTTCTTACAAGTTGGAGAAATCAGAAAAAGGAAAGCGAGCTTTGAAGAAATCAGTGACGAGTAGAAATTTGTGCTTGTTTGAAATAACCCCTGATCAGTTGTTTCTGTACGTGAGGGCAACTGCAAAGACGCGGAGAACGAACAAGACACAAACAATGTAGTGCTTGCTTTGCTATAGCAATTTTGGACTGGTTGCGCTTCAATTAAAATACCAAATTTGTTCAATTCTCACACTAGAGTCACGAAAACGCATAAGTGGTGATTAATGTACCATCCACATAACTCATCCATTCCCGTGCGGCCCCTTTCTGAGGTGCTTAACACGCCCCAGTAAGGAGTCGTCTTTTTGTCTATGGCGAGTGCGATATCTGGTCGCGAAGTTAGTAAGCAAGCCTGGATTGATGGAACAAGTAGCATTGGATTAAGAGAAAGGACTCTGTACACACGATGGCTGGCCCTGGCCAGTTCTTGTGCACATCGGTGCTTGTTATTCGATTACAACATTAACGGTAACTTACCAAGACGCTGCCTAGTGTGTTTTTGTGCTGCCAAATCAACATCCTAAGCTCAAGCGATGGTACGCCGTGATTGATGCGTAATCATGTATTTAGGCAGCAAAGCCACCAGTGTTAAATGATGGGGTAAAACCGAAACCCGAAATCAAATGGATCCCCGCGCGCGAGCGCTACGGTAGCAAAAAGAACGCGCGCCCACGGCCGTCGCACTACATCGGCCACTGCTCTTCTGCTATCCGAAAGAAAAGAACAAATGGAAAAAGCTGACGTAAAAACAAACAAGTATGGAGGGAGCCCGACGTCGACGCGTTTCATTTCGCGCGAGAAAAAGAGACGCGCCCACTCCCGCGCGATGCCTCGGCGAGCTAGCGGAGCGCACACAGCGCGCGCGCTCAGAGAACGCGAGAGTGGGGGAGCGGGGCAAACAGGCGATTCCGCCCGAAGCAGCGGCAGCCCTGCCGCCGCGCTCATTACCATCACGGCGCCGCCGAAACGGGCGAGCCACCCCGGCGAGTGCCGTCGAAAGCGCGCGCGGTCCGCTGAGCAAAACATAAAAAAAAGTACGGGTGGGAAAAACAAGAAAAGCGAGGCGAGAGCCGACGAGCGGCGCACGCAGCACCCGGCGCGCCGCCGCGACTCCCGAGAGCAGAGACGGCCTGCCACCCGAAAGCAAGAAAAAGAACAGCAAAACGAGCGAAGAGGCGCTGAGCGGCGGCCGCACCGGGTGCCCGCGAAGCCCGACAACCCCGAGAAGCGCGCGTCGTCCGCTGGCGCGCGCGCCCCAGCCTACAAGCAGCCTAGCCTGCGACCCCCACAAACCCTCCTTCTTCACTGCCACAGCTCCGTTCAGCAGCACGCTACTCCCCGCTGCCGCCCGCCCGAGCGACCGCGCCGCCGAAGGAGCGAGCGGCTCCGAGGCGACCAAAGATAAAAACGGTGCGCCCCCACTGCTCCATCCCCCCCGCCTCTTACCGCGCCACCGCCACTCGCCCCTGCTCAATCCGCGAACGCGAAGTAAAAAGGGAAAAATAGAAGGGAGCGACAGCAGAGCCGGAGGGGAGCGCAAGAACAAGTACTACGCGACGCGCGAGCAGAGAAGCGCGGCGGCCGGCAAGCGAATGGTGGGATGTTGGGAAGGAAGGAGGGGAGCGAAAAAGAGCGACGCGGTCCTCACGGCAAGCAAAAAAAAGAATAAAAGTGAGAAGGAACGGAGGCCCCGAGCAAGCAAGCGGGCACGCACGGCGGCTCGTCGGCGGCTGAAAGAACGGCGGCGGCGGGGCGCGCGCGAGCGCGGACACTCCTTGCGCAGCTCGAGCGGCACTTCTCTCTCTCTCTCCCTGCTCGCTGGCAGCGCTCAGATCTCCGGGGAGGCGACGTGCGTGTGCGCCTTCCTCCTCTCCGGGCGCGTATCACTTTTACCGCCGCCCGTTCCCGGCTCGCCCCGCGCCTCGGCGGCGCACACACAAACCACCAGCTCTGCAGCTTCGGTCATTCGACAGGGAAGAGCCCGGCGCGTACGGACGTGGCGACGAGCGGTGCCACGGGCCGCTCGCTCGGCTCTCCGTTCCTTCGGCCGCGCGCGAACTTGTGTTGTGCGCGACGCGTCTCCTGACTACAGGCTGTGCTTCAGTTTTCTTTTTTTTTTTATTATCTGCCCTTGTCATCGGTGTGTGATTACGTTTGGTTCAGTTTTTTTTTCTGTATTTTTCCCAACAACGCCCGATACGTGGATTAATGAGAGCAACGAGACCCGAAGAAGCGGACCTTCGTCCCCGGCTGCTTTCGAGTCTTCTATGAGAGTCGTCTAGGACAGCTGAAATCCTGTAAGTACTTTTTTTTTTCTTTTTTCATTCGCAGACTCAAAACTTCGACAGGAACTCGGATGCCGACGCTTGCGGGGCAACTCTAACGGATGGTCCATTGCGTGCCTCAAATTTTCCCTGTAACGCATGTGTTATATAGCGACAGGAAAGAAAACTTCAGAGTATTTCCAGATAGAGGAGTTGACAATAGTTAAAACTTCTTTACGTAGGTGCGCGCGCTCGTAAGCGTTGCGCACAGCGAATATTTAACTTTCAGCCTCACGCACTGTTCAAGATCTAGTCCTGGACGAGTAGTTACAGCTTTGTTGCAGTGACGTTCGAATCGATGAAGAAATTTCGAAGCAGAATGAGTAATCGTTTACGCAGAACTTTGGTGTTCGCGCACCTGCTGTGCAGCGCGTGCTTTCGGTTCTGCGCGGGCGGCTCGGAAGTTTCGCGTACTTCGGAAAAAAAGTTGCTTTGGGGCGTACCGACCGCATGAACGAATTAACGTTTGTAACGATTCATCCAGTGCATTAGTTGTTCGAACGACAATTGCGTTTTTATCGCGCCGATAGCTGCCATTAAACAGGAGGTTGCGGACGAATTCCGTGAACTCCGTGATGAGCTGCGCGCGTTGGTCTCTACAGGTGTGTATAAATTGAATTCAAGGAACATTGCTGCCACTTTGTCGTCCCAGTCATGTTATTTGATAAACGGAGCTTTTAACACGTTAAAAGCCAGTGTTTTTCTCTTCCATACGTGCCGTGCTCGACCTTTCTGTAGCCATGCGCGGTTCGGTGTGGGCGTTCTCAAGCAGGGAGGTTTTTTTAGCGCGCACAAAGACGCGATATATCATAGACCCTTCTTGCAGTTTGAAACTTACAGCATGACGTTTGCGCGAGTCCTTTATTTATGGACTTTTCAGAAAGTGCAAGCGATGGCTGAACGCGTGATATATGTGCGAAGTGAAATTAGGTGCTGCATGATCGCTGCTAAAGCGAATGGGAGTTACAGCACAATAGTACCAAACCAGCACAGAAAGGTTTCACTAAATGCGGATTTAACCGATCCGCGCCGCATTGGCTCCTAGAGCCGCACCCATGAAGTTCGGCTTGCGTAAAGCGCGCCGATTCCCTCCGTAAAATTGGCTCCGAACGTTGTTTTTGCTCTTCAACTCTGATGAATGAATTCTATCTATGATCTAAGGTGTCTGCTTAACTCGTTCGTAAAGTTTCTTCTCTTAACTATGATGGGTTACAGAAATTTTAACGTTTCTCCGAAACTTCATTTTCCGGAAAGCAGGCTTTCCCGTGGTGCGCGCGTAAGTTGTTGCCTAGCGCACTTTCCCACCGTTTTCCCACCGAAGTATTTCAAATAGGCTTACTACATACAGTACAATAACGTTTTTTGTAGGAAAATACATTTTCCGTCAACTTCCGTGAATTTTAAGATATTTTTGAATGTAGAGACGTCGGTTTCTCGATGTAAGGCCTTGCGCTCTGCTCATCACGTTTCGACGGAAGATCCGCTGTAGTACGTGAAGTTTTGCGTTTACGCATAGACTAAGCGGCGATTTCCCCCCGCAGCTATGCTAAGAAATGATGATATTTAATTTTCTGGCGCCGAAACGCTATATTTCGCAGTCGAAAAATTGCGTTCGTGGCAAAAAAAGAAAACAAAAAACGGGCGTTGGCCGTTGAGTTCAGGAAAGTAACTAAGCCCTTGTTGAAGCTCTAAAGTAAGATGCTGGAGTAGATAATTTTCATGTTCCAATGACTTCCACATCCTCTAGAGGGACACTTGAGTTTTCGATCTTGCAGTGGTCATGCTCGCGTTGCTTCGAAAATCTGTTGCCGATGGCATACTCTGCGAGAATCTAGTGGTGACGTACAGTTTTGCTTTTTTTGTTTATGATCTCATAAAGCCACTTCTTAATGCACCAGTTTCTGCTTAAAGTTGCTGACTGCAATTATCCGAGACTAGTTCGCGACATTTTCTCGCCTTCGGTCAGGAGCGTGCTATAGGTTCGACACTGGCTGAATGTCACCGGCCGGCCTCTTAAGGGCGTGGCATTTCAGGCTACACACACGCTGATTGTTGGTTTGCGCATTGCCGGGACCTGCGAAGAGAAGCTGAATTCATTACGGAATGTTCGTTGCTGTTTCACTAAATTGTGGCTCTTGAACTTCAGACGTGTGCTGTCGTAACTATACTGAACGTTTTCTCGAGTCAGCATAACCCCGTGCACCGTGAAATTCCCCGCAACTGTTAGAAAAAATAGGGGCGTTAGTTTTTACAAGTGGCTTGGACGGTTAGCTCCTATAAAGAGAGAGAGAGACAGATAAAATTATTTTAATAGGGAGTTGGAGAGGTTTGCCTGGATTTTCCACCTGGCGGGCTACTCCAGTTGCCGGGTGATGACAATGATATATACAAGGATAAACACACAACACATACAGTTACATACACGCATAACAATCACGTAACACATAAAGTCACTCAGACGCACTGCACTATTTAAGAATACTGAACGCATTGCTTCATTCGGTGCAATGATTAATTTTGCGCCCGATGTGCCACGGGTGGAACGATTAAAAAGTACGAACACGCACCCCGATCAGTATACGCCGCACATGAATGCAAATTTCGCTTTGCATAATGCGCAACTGCCGAGACACGCGCGTAGGTGGCTATAGCGCTGAAACGGGTTCGCCTCGCCACACTATCTGTTCCTGTAGCTGTCACCTTACGAATGCGTCAAAGTGCGAAGCTGCTAACTTCGACTATTGTGTGCGGCGCGCTGAATGTCAAATTTCTGCTATAGGTATTCTAACGTGGATGATCGCTCCTAACCGGGGAACAACACACACGCGTTCGCAAATCCTTTCCGCGTTCACGTACATCAGCGTGTCGTAGTAATTAATAATCGCACTGACTATAATGCACGGCCAGTCGGTAACGTTTCTTACGCGTTTCAAAAGCGGGTTCCGGATGTTCGTACGCGACAAAGAACACTGGGAATAATCGCCTGGAATACGTGTAAAACTCGCAGCATACACAATACTCGTGCCGATTAGTTGGATGTCATCATACCGGAGTTCTATAAGCATCTCTAATCACGCGCATGCGTCAGAAGCTGCGCGTATAGGATGTCCTCGTGCACGGAAAGTCGCACGTATACGCCCTATAGGTTCTTTCTAAGCAGCCTCGCTGCTGATGAAGCCTTCAATATAGTATGCAGGTTGTTGAACACACATATTTTGTAGATTGCTATTGTAAAAGTGTGAAGTGGGCGCTTGTTGTTGGGCTCATGCTGGTAACTCTCCTCCCAAAGTGTGCCAAAACGTCTCGTTGCGAGCGTTGCGAAGAGGATATGGCTGCATGGAACGTTCGAATTTGTATCCATTTACAAAATGTACGACGGCCACAATGCGCAATGATTGATTGATTGATTTGTGTGGTTTAACGTCCTGAAACCACCATATGATTATGAGAGATGCCGTAGTGGAGGGCTTCGGAAATTTCGACCACCTGGGGTTCTTTAACGTGCACCCAAATCTGAGCACACGGGCCTACAACATTTCCGCCTCCATCGGAAATGCAGCCGCCACTGCCGGGATTTGATCCCGCGTCCTGCGGGTCAGCAGCCGAGTACCTTAGCCACTAGACCACCGTGGCAAGGCTACACAATGCGCAAAAGCATTGCCAGGAATCAGCATCGCAACAAAGTATGAGTTGGGTAACACGACCGAGTAGCGAAAAAGCAAAGCTGAACTTAGCTGTCTGTGGAGGTTCATGCCTACTATGTCCGTATATTTGATTCCTTTGGTTGAATACCCTTCTGCTAACTCCTCTTCTAACGATAAACCTGCAGATCGCAGTACAGTTGGCTTGCTACTTCGTTGAAGGTGTAAACTTATGAACGACTTCCTTCGCCACGGAAACCAAACCGGTTAGATCCAATGCGAAATGCGTGTACAGTAACGAGAGGGAGCGATGAGGCTTACTTTCTTGTTATGTCCCGAAAAGCGGGAGCCTGATCTCCTTTCCTCGGGCATTCATTAAGTTATGTACCTCAAGGCAATCTGTGATAATTACTAACTCGCCGGTTGTGTCGTCTATTATGTGAAGCCCAAAAAAAAAAAAATGCCACCAGAGATTCATTAGGGTTAGTGTCTACAAGACGGCCATTTCCTGTTGTCTTTTCTCGATCCGGCAGATACTGTCCCGACCGAAAGGCGGTTCGCGTGCATCTAAACAGCGGAGCAGCTCTTTTAGCGGGTGGAATTCTTCCGTTCCATTCGCAAAAAGGCAACGTGATCTGCGATATCTTTCAGCGCAACTTCATACCCCCCTCCCTTCCCCCTCGAGTCTCGTGCGAACCGACGGCGCTGAATGCGGCTACAACGGCCGTATGTCTCCTCGTCGAGGTGCGCGCAGAAGAAAGCACGCACCGTCCTATGGGAACAAAAGTAAAACAAGTAAGGAACAACAAGAGAAGTCTGCAGCATCGTCATCTGCGGGCGCGATAGTGGCTCGTCCGCGGGATGGTTTCGCTGATAAGCCGCGCTGTCGCTTAGTTTTCCGGGACGACCCTCGCGCATCGCTTATCCCGCGGGCTCTGCTTGTGCGCAGCCCGGTTGTCCCTTATCGCGTGCGGCCTCTGCCGCTCTTTCGCGTGATCTCTCTCTCTCTCTGGATTTCGAAATTCCTGCGACTGCCGAGCGCTGACGGGCTTGCCAAAGTTGTTTATCTTCGCGCCAGCGGTCGAGGAAGCGACGTTCCCACTCCGCTGAACGCGTGGTGGGTCCCTGCTGCAGCGTGCTGCCGTCATCCTATGAGGATAGTCGCGGGGCGCAGGTGCGATTGCGTATCACAGCCGCCGGCTTGAAAAGGGAAAACAGCGAGTGCGACGGTTGAACGGATGGACCTAGTCTTGCGTATGAATATGATTACGCAAGTGTGATACGCAGCGTTGACGGTCGTTTCTTTCTCTTATGCTTACGCCCGTTTGCTTC